CTTGGCCGAGCGGCCGTGGGGGGGCCAGGAGAGAGCCAAGTGTCGGGGCCTGAGCCCCACGTCGGTCTGAGCCCGGGCAGAGGAGAAGGTCTTATCGAGATCCAGAAAAATGGACACCTGTCGGGATGCTGGCTGGAGCCTCATGAGAGTGTTTGAGGACCTTTCCTGTGGCTGGGATGCTGCTAAAACCTAGTCTCAAACCATGAAAAACCCATCCTACTTGGAGTGCCAGAACTACTGGCTCCTTGCACAGTTTTCTCCAGCTGCTTGTTAAGAGCAAGAATTATGACCATTTTAAAAGCAGTCCCACCTGGGCATGGCACAAGGCAGGGAGCATACATTCCAGAAGAATTTGAGCTCCCTGTCAGCCTGAAAAGTGTTGTTAGAGTGCTTTATACCCAGGTAAGCATCATCATCATATGCTATAGCCAAGTTTTTGGAGGGGTGATGGTGAGCTCCCCCATCCTTCAATGTCCAAGGTGAGGTGCTGCCCTAGACCAGCATTCCTGTTCTGTATGGGTTTAGGATGACCAGAGTGTATGTACACACAAAGCAAAATTTTATTATGAATTATAATAATGATGTGATTAGGCTAAAGGACATAAATCAATATCTCTACTACACCAAGTCAACCATGTGATCAACAGCTCCTTATTAAGTGGCATTTACTAGAAATTGAAGCAGTATTTTAAAACAATATGTTAAAGCAATAGTTCAAGATAGGTTAATAATTAAATAGGGAATGATGCCACTTGCGCTACCTGATGACCACGGGGCAGCTACCTCTGAGGAGTCACTGCTCGAGGGGTGTCCCCGCTTGGCGGGGGAGTATCAAACACACCTCACGAGGAAAGTGTGTCAGGATCTCCCTGATGGAGAATGGGACTGGGCCTTTATAGGATAAAGTGACTGACTGTCACTTATCCATGGCTTAGCCAAACCTCCTCTCCTTTCTCAGGGATCCTTCTGTCTTAGGAATATACTTGTATCTTATAAAAACACTGGCTCTTTCTTTATCAGTTATCTATTTTTTCTCCCTGTCTGGATCCAGCTGCTCCAGAGTATTTTGCTACACCAAAGTACAGTGTCAACTTCTAGCATATCTGGTAGCTGTTTTACACCAGAGGATACACAGAGTAGAGTGAATGTTGAGTCTTTTTCCCACTGAGGCAGAGCATCCTGCAACAGCTGCAGGGCAGCTGCTCTAGCCTCCTCTCTTCTCTTCCCTTCAAGATTTAGTGCCTAGGAGGGAGGGAAGCACAGGATTTTGGCCATGGCCCCAACAAAGAGGAGCAGTCAGGGCTGCATCTTTTGCTGCTTTCATAGTAGTGACCACTCTGAGATCATGTCCCAGCTCCACAATGACAGCAGGTTTGCCCTGCAGACCATGGGGCCCGTGCTGCCCATGCCACCAGCAAAGGAGCTGGAAGTCATACTTGCCAAGCTGGTGGTAAGTAGGATGTGGTTTGTTTTCTTTTTTCTTCCCCCCTTTTTTGGTTTTGTTTCCTTCTTCCTAGTCTTCCCGTGCTCGGTTTTGAGTTTTCAGGCTAGCTTTGGCATGAAGAGAGCATCAGGAGCTGCTGTTGGGCACAGTTCTGCTCTGAACCTTGAGCTCTGTTCCCCCCAGGGATCCTGGCCAGATTTGATGTTTTCTCTTTCTCATTAGAAAGCCTTGATTTCTGAGAGCAGCCCTTAGGGACAGGTGTCCTGTCCTTCTCCATGGGCAGGACGAGATGCCTGGCTGTGGAGGACAGTTCTCCACAATGGCAAACTGGGGGACCCAGCACAGGATGGTGGGGATGAGGTGTCTCTGTGGCAGGACTTTGTTCTTGCAGAAGTCCTGCAGAACAACACCAGTCAGGTTTGGTTTATTCAGGGTGGAGTGACTGCTTCTGTTCCACATTTTTCTCCAAAGGAAACTTCATCAAATCAGAATTGCTTGAGAAAATTCTTTCCCATGGAGTATACTCCCCATGACCCAGGCAAAAGAAGCATAAGGGCTTGTTGGGCTGCATCCCAGCATCACCAGCTAGGCTGAAGAAAGCATCTGTGGAGATTCAGGTGCAGGAGCCCCACCAAGTCTGCGGCACCTTGTCTCAGCCCAGAATTTTCAAAGCATCCTCCCCAACTTCAGATGGATTCTTCGTGCAGAAGCTGTACCACAGGGGAATGCTGTGCGTGCAGGAAGGCAGGAGGTCAGTAGGGCTCACAGGGGCCAGCCAGGCCAAGGGCATGCCCTAGGGTGGCTCTTCTGCTGTCCTTCCCTTGCTCTCTGAGAACAAATCTCTCTGAGATTTTTCTTTTTTGACCCCATCCAGGGGTGAGAAGGTGGCTTGGAGGCAGCTGCTTCTCCAGGGCACACCAGCCTCAGGAGTGGTGCTGGTTACATGGGGACTGAAGTCATTCAGGGAAGGGGGGACAGCAGGTGCCCACTGTGCTCCCCTGCAAGCAGCACAGCCCTCTTGGCTCCCCCAGAAAAACCCTTGAGGCAGATCTTGGCCTGAGCCAGCTAAGTACTATACTGAACCTTGTTCCCACCAACCAGGAGGTTGCCTTGGCTGCAGTGACCATTAAATGGTGGAGTTCAAAATCTTCAGGGCAGTGAGGAGGGTGCACAGCAAACTTGCTGCCATGGACTTCAGGAGAGTAGATGTCAGCCTCTTTAGGGACCTGCTTAGTAGAGGACATGGCATAAAGCTCTGCAGAGTAAGAGGGGCTCAGGAAACTTCTCCAAGCTGAGGAACGATGTGTTCCAAAAAAAAGGAAGTGAGGCAAAACCACCAGGAGGCCTACATGGATGAAGAAGGAATTCCTAGGCATACTCAAACACTAAAAGGAAGACTACAGGGGGTGGAAGCAAGGAGAGGTAGCCTGGGAGGAACAGAGAGAAATTATCCGAGGAGCCAAGGACCAGGTTAGACAAGCAAAAGCCCTGAGAGAATGCCACCTGGCCTGGGACATTAGGGGCAACAAGAAAAGCTTCTACATGTATGTAGTGATAAAAGGAAAGACTAAGGGAAATGTGGGTCCTCTCCAGAAGGAGATGGGAGACCTGCTTACGTGAGATATGGAGAAGGCTGAAGCGCTTAATTACTTTTTTGCCTCAGTCTTATCCGTAAGTGCTCAAGCCAAACTGACCAAGACACGGAAGACAAAGGCAGGGACTGGGAGAATGAAGAACCACCCACAGCATGGCCAGAACAGGTTCAGGACCATCTAAGGAATTTGGAGGTCCACAAGTCCATGGACCTGATGAAGTACATCCAGAGGTCCTAAGGGAATTGGCAGATGAAGTTGCTACGCCCATATCCATCATATCTGAGAAGTCACGGCAGTATAGTGACTGGAAAAGGGGAATCATCACCTCCATTTTTACAAGGGGAAAAAAAGAAGATCTGGGCAACTACAGGCCAATCAGTCTCACTTCTGTGCCCAGCAAGATCACGGAGGAGATCCTCCTGGAAACTCTGCTAAGGCACATGGAAAACAAGGAGGTGATTAGTAACAGCCAACATGTTTTTGTTAAGGGCAAATTGTGCCTGATAAATCTGGTGGTCTTCTATGACGGGGCTACAGCAGGGTGAACAAAGGAAAAGCAACTGATGTCATCTTCCTGGACTTGTGTAAAGAATTTGATGCTGTCCTGTACAACATCTTTGTCTCTAAATTGAGGAGCTTGACGAATGGACGACTCAGTGGATAAGGAAATGGCTGGATGATCACATCCAGAGAGTAGTGGTCAAGGGCTCAATGTCAAAGTGGAGATCAGTCACGAGTGGAGTTCCTCAGGAATAAGTACTGGGATAGGTTCTATTTAACATCTTTGTTGGCGCTGCCCTTCAGGCACTCCTGCAAGTGCATCACCCAGTGTCCAGTGTAGAAGCTGGTCTACAGAAGCCAGGTGGTGGAGGATCTGGTGGGCAACGTCCTCTGTGTCTTCCCAGTGCTCTCACCAAATTGTTTCTTCCTGTTGCTGCAGCCAGCCATGAAGGAGGGCACAGCCTTCAAAGGTTGGCACCCCTATGAGGATGATGCTTTCTAGCACCTGCTTGTGCCCCTGCAGCACCTCTGTGGGCATGCCTTCCTCCTGGAGCTGGGCACCATGGAGGAGATGCTGGCAAGAGCCTCCTGCATCCATGTGGAGCTGAAGTGGACGTGCACATGGGAGCAGCTGATGGAAAACCTGCTGTGCTTCCTCTGCCACCCTGAGGATGCACTGAGCAAATCCTTGTGTCACCCCCCTACCAAGTCAGGGTGCTGCCCTCCTCCCACTACTGCAATCTCCAGCTGCCACCTCCAAGAGGACTGTTTTCACTGTGGTGACATTTTGTCAGGAGAAAGGCAACTCAGGCCTCTTCCTAAGCATTTAGTGGGACAAGACAGGCTTCACTGGCTTTTACTTTCTCTTTGATAGGATTGTACTTTTCAAGGAACATTTGGTCATCTCATGAGGTCATATTAATCCTTCATGGGTCCTTAGGACAATAAGCTCTATCTTTTTGGTTTTAGATCATCTTTGGCAGGAAAGGTACCACTCAGAGTATCCAGAGCAAGCATGTGAGAGCTGCCTGCCTCTTTCTGCCTGCATCTTTACCACACACCCAGCCTGGTAAGATTTAGGTGTGTTGTATCTACATGGTGTCTCATTTACCCCCTCCTTATGGCAGAGGCCAGATGTCATCTCTCTGGACTTCCATAAGGCCTTTGACATGGTCCCCCACAACATCCTCCTCTCTGCATTGGGGAGGCTTGGTTTCATGGGTGGAGTGTTGTGGCGGATAAGGAACTGGTTGGATGGTCCCATCCAGAGAGTACTGGTCAATGCTTTGATGTCCAAGTGGAGATCAGTCACAAGTGATGTTCCTCAGAGGTGGGTACTGGGAGAGGTGCTTTTTAACATCTTTGTTGGTGACAGTGGGACTGAGTGCACCCTCAGGAAATTTGCTGAGGAGCCCAAACTGTGGTGTGGTCAGCACAGTGGAGAGAAGGGAGGCCATCCAGAGGGACCAGGACAGACTGGAGGGGAGGGCCTGTGTCAACTTATTAAGTTCAACAATGCCCAGAGCAAGGTCCTGCACCTGGGTTGGGGCAATCCCAAGCACAAATACAGACTGAGTGGAGAATGGACAGAGAACAGCCCTGAAGTAAAGAGCTTGGGAATGTTGCTTGATGAGAAGCTCAACATGAGCTGGCAATGTGTGCTTACAGCCCAGAAAACCAACTGTGTCCTGGGCTGCATCACCAGCAAAGGGGCCAGCAGGTTGAGGTTGAGGGATTCTGCCTCTCTACTCCATGCTGGTAAGACCTGACCTGCAGTGCCGTGTCCAGTTATGGAGTCCCCAACACATGAAAGACATGGAGCTGCTGAAGCGAGTCCGGAGGAGGGCCATGGAGATGATGAGAGGGCTGGAGCACCTCTGCTATGGAGACATGCTGAAGGAGTTGGGATTGTTCAGCCTGGCTAAGAGAAGGCTTCAGGAAGACCTTCTAGTAGCCTTCCAGTATCTGAAGGGGGCCTACAGGAAAGCTGGGGAGGGGCTTTTTACCACTTGTAGCGAGAGGACAAGGGGTAATGGATCAAAACTGCAAGAGGAGATATTTAGGTTAGACATTAGGAAGAAAATTTCAGTGTGAGCATGGTGAGACACTGGAACAGGTTGTCCAGGGATGTTGTAGAAGTCCCAGTCCCCGGAAGTGTTCAAGGCCAGGTTAGATGGGGCTCTGAGCAACCTGATCTAGTGGAAGGTGTCCCTGCATGGGCAGGGGGCTTGATCTAGATGATCTTTAAGGTCCCTTCCAACCCAAACCATTCTATGATTCTGTGATACTCCATGAAACTCTAGTCTCTGCATTCCTGATGTTAAGAATGCACAGGAAAAAGGGAGCAGGGAGACGAGCATCCACCTGGGGCTAAGCATCTATGCAACCAGTTTCTATCATGCCCATGTGAAACCATCCATCAGGCAGGCCACCCCCACATCTCATGCTTTCTGCTCACAAAGGAAAGGGGAACCCCATGGCAGGGAAG